CCACTGTGGAGTTTTCCAAACTTGCTGGCATATTGAATGTAGCACCTTAACAGCGTCATTTTTTAAGATTTTAAATAGTTCAGCTGGCTTTTTACCTTGTGGCTAATATTTTGCAGCTGCCCAGCCAGACCATAGTTGGCAGAAGGTGGCTTGTAACCTTAAAACAGTAAAACTCAACCCCTAAGTTATAAAACTCACCTTAAATGCTGGCCTCGGTAATGGTTGTTGTTGTTTAGTCGTTTAGTCGTGTCCGACTCTTCCTGACCCCACGGACCAGAGCACACCAGGCCCTCCTGTCTTCCACTGCCTCCCAGAGTTGTGTCAAATTCATGTTGGTTGCTTCGATGACACTGTCCAACCATCTCATCCTCTGTTGTCCCCCTTTCCTCTTGCCTTCACACTTTCCCAACATCAGAGTCTTTTCTCATGAGATGGCCAAAGTATAGGAGTCTTAGTTTCAGGATCTGTCCTTCCAGGGAGCACTCAGGGTTGATTTCCTTCAGAATGGATAGGTTTGATCTCCTTGCAGTCCAGGGAACTCTCAAGAGTCTCGTCCAGCACCAGAATTCAAAAGCATCAATTCTTCGGTGGTCAGCCTTCTTTATGGTCCACTCGGTAATGTACTAAAGGGCTAATAAGCTGAAATGGAATCCTGGTAAGATGGAGATTTTGTTGTTTGGAGGCTTGCCTAATTGGTTAAGGCAGCATCCTCTCTGGTCTGGATGGGGTCCCGTCTCCTCAAAGACCAGGCTTGTACCTTGGAAGTGATCCTCGACCCAACTCCCTCTCTTTGTGGAGAAGCAAATCTCTGCCTTGACCAGGTCAGAATTGCTCCAGTTGTGACAGATTGCCCAGCAGGGATGGGAAGTCTGTTGACCTCGCCGGTCCATGCATTGATTACTGCAAATGCTGTCTTGGTGGGGCTGCCCTTTAAGATGATACAGAGGCTGTTGCCACACGGCCTTATTGTTGCTGTCCTTTTATTTTGGTGCTGATTTTGAATTACATTTTATAGTTTATGTCTGGGAGACTGGTTGTGTTTTAGGGTTGCTGTAAACCTCCCAGGGATGTGGTGGTGCTGCAGGTTAAACCACAGACGCCTCTGTGCTGCAAGGTCAGAAGACCAGCAGTCATAAGATCGAATCCATGCAATGGAGTGAGCTCCCGTCGCTTGTCCCAGCTCCTGCCAACTGAGCCATTCAAAAGCATGTAAAAATGCAAGTAGATAAATTGGTACCCCCACGGTGGGAGGGTCATGGCATTCCGTGTCTAGTCGCGCTGGCCATGTGGCCACGGAAACTGTCTTCGGACAAACGCTGGCTCTACGGCTTGGAGACGGGGATGAGCGCCACACCCTCGAGTCAGACACGACTGGACTAAATGTCAAGGGGAACCTTTATCTTACTTAAACCTCCCATGGCAGTTGCTTTTCATTGGTTGGTATAGAGAATGAATGAATAAAGAAAGGAAGGCAGTAATTCATATATGCAACAATAGCTATTTAACACCTCTTTTTTAAAAGAATGCAGGCATGTTTTTTAAAGCCCTTTTCAGATAAAGTATCCACAGAGGAGAGAGGTCATATATTTCTCACTGGGAGAAAGATGAGATTAAAATGCAATAAAATAAATAAAAATGGAATCAATTGGGAGGGAGTTCTGGCTTATGCTTTTCTCGCATTGTTTAACCTGAAGCCTCTTCCAAGCCCACTAACTCAGGAGTCCCATGGTTTCTCTGCCACCAGCTGGTGAAAAACAAGAGTGGAGGTCCTCCCTGTTGGTCAGGTGGTGACCGTCCCGCAAGCCGAACCTCAGTATTCAGCATAAATAATAAATATGTGGATTTGTCTGAAAGCAGAGCATGGATTTCTTTATGTCTGATGGCCGTTTTGGTTTGGCGTTGTTATTACGATGGGACCGTTTGTGTATTTCTGTAGTTGGTCTTCTGAATTCTTCTGCAAAGTAAATCAAACATACATTCTATTTGAAATTGTTTGGTTGCATCCCGACATTATTCTAATTGCGTTTTATTTCAGTTTTTTTAAACCACTCTGGCTTCACGTTAGGCCCTGCAGCAGGATATAAATACAATAGATAAATAAAAATGCCTTTTTAATGGCTGCTTTCCTCCCTGTTCACCTTTGCAAAGGCTAATTTGCTTGAAAGTTGGAGCATGTTTTGTTACCTGCAAATTAGACAGGGTCAATCAATACCTGCGATCGCTCAAATGTCAGACTGAGTCTGTAAAAGGGAAAGACGGCCTTGCCAGTCGCCTGGAAAAAGGGGGAGGGGTGTCACCTGCCATTTTGCAGGGACGTGAGACTGAAAAGCTATAGCAGAGAGAGGAGGCTTGAGAAAAGAAGGGCCTTTTATAGTCCAGCTCGCGTCTCTGACTTTCTGTTATCAATGCATTGTCCATATTATTTATAGGAAGCTTCCTGGGTTGTTACAACATTACTATTGTAAAATTATAAACATTTGTCTTTTAAAATAGCAAAAAAAAAAAACCCTCTTCAGTTTTAATTTCTCGAAGCAACAGACGCATCTCTAAAAGTGAAACGACGGGGCTCACGCCTGCTTTGAGAACTACGGTCGGTCCTGATGGAGTCTGGCGGGGGCTTTATGTTGCTGGTCATATTTCTAGGGATGAGGGAATTGAGGGATCTGGATGGGCAGAACCTCGGAGCATCTGACTATATGACTGGGCCTTCTTCAGTCAGTTGAGGGTGATGGAAATTAACCCAGGATTTGTGGGTCTCCATAGTTGAGTTGCAGGCATTACCGGGGGGGTGGGTGAGCATGGTCAGGCCATCATCCGTGGGTCTGCAGCTTGCTCTCTTCTTGGTTCCTTCTCTCTGAACCCTTTTCTGCCCATGGTCTCAGTTGCACTGTGGGATTTTGGTTGAGTGCAGGTGGAGATTTCATGGATCCCTCCTCTGGGTGTTTGGCTACAGGAAGCCTTGTATGGTTTGATTTAGGTTTAGGGTTTTTCTTCCCGCTTGGACATAAAGCAAGCCGCCCTTCCCTCTCAGCTTTGCAAAAATAATAATAATAATGCATTTCTCACTCTTCTTCTTTCTGTTTGCTTTTTCAACAGGGTGGTGAGCCTCCTTCTTGCAGCCAGGGCTGACCCCAGCCTGGGGGATGAGTTCAGCAGCGTCTATGAAACAGCCAAAGAGAAGGGGCTCCACTCCCTTGAAGGTAACATTTGGGGTTGTCCCTTTTCACAGCACCACTTGCTCGCGTCTCTCCTGCCAGGCCTGGCCCCGGATGCTGGAAGCGTGTCTTTGTTGTGGTCACTGGCCTGCATATGAATGCTTCCGAGTCCTAACACTGCTTTCCTCTCTGTACCTCTTTTGCAGTCACATAGAGCATGTTTAAAGACTCAGTATTACAAATCCTCACTAAGGGAGAAAGTCAGGATAAATACCAAATGAATAAATAAATAAAATTAAAATTGAGCGAAACGCTTGTTTGCATAGTTAAATAAGAAGTAGTAATAGTAGTCACAGTATCCAAGCATGGAAAGGTACTTCTTTGGACTGCAAATCCCAGAGTCCTTCTGGAGGGTCCTAAGAGCTGTAACTCCAGAAAGCAGTTTTTTCTAAGCTCTATGTGTTTTACACATTCTGGGTGGATAGTGTGCAGTGTGTGTCTTTCAAGAGCTATCTAGGAGGCTTGCTCTCGACATCATCTCCAGTTTGAGAGCAACAGACCTTTCTGGCCGCCTTCCATAAGATTCCAGGTTGTGTGAACAGCCCTTGTGGTAGTTTTTTTTTTCTGTAGCCAACAAAGTGCAAAGTGCTTTTCTTTTTCCTTTCCTTTTCTTCCCCCAGCAGTGGCAGTCCTTTGAAAGCTAACTAGTCTCACCCATTCTTTTAGGAAACACCACTGGAGGTTAAAAGTCAAGGCCAGACGATCAGATTTCAAAAGGGGAAAGAAGGGGACGCAACCTGCCGTCCTTAGTCCCCCTCCTTGTGTGCGCACGTGGGAGGGGAGAGGAGTGGAGGGGGACGTGGACCTTGGGTGGCGCTGAATGCGCGTCTTTGCACTGAATATGCAAAGCCACAACATGGGGCGCCAGCACCTGATGGGTCTTGTCAGACTTCATCTCAGGCAAAGACAAAGCCACCCAGACGTAGAGTTGACATTTTCTCTTTGCCCTCCCCTCCATCGCCAAGTGCATGTTGCTTTTTTGGTTGAGGAAAGGGAATGGCTGGAAAAGACCGGGGGGGGAAGCTACTCACAAGGAAGTTGCATTCATTTTTTTTGGTTGACATGTTTTATTAAAAAAAATAAATTCAGCTGCAGTCTTTTTTTTTTAAGAAGAAGAAAGAAAGAAGGATCACACATGCAAGAGGGGAGAGAAAAACGGCCTTTGTTTTGCAGGGTTATTTTTAACGATTTGCATATTTTGTGTATAAATATATTTTTTCATAAAAACATCCAAATCGGGAAAGCTGCACACCACGCAGGCTGTGCAAAATATATTACCGACATTTATATGGATGACAGGGCGGGGAGACAGAGAGCCGAAAATTTCCAGGCTCCCCGTGATTGATGGCGGACGAGGCTCCCTTTGACGCTTTATTGAGTTTCCGATGATTATCTCTGGTGGAGACATTTTTTACAGATGACGGGCGAGCTGTCACGGTGGACCATTGGGGGGGAAAGCAACCCAACAATAATAACACTTTAATCTTTTTACTGCACTGCTCCCTAGTATCTCAGATTCATCTTCTCTGACACCAGCCACTTGATTATCCTGCCCCTCCTTGGATAGGCAAAGGAGGGAAATAAATAAATATACATTTCCTCCCCCCCGTCCACCCTGCCTCTCCTACCTCACTGCAGGCATGCACATACCAAAAAATAAAAAGTTCTAGAGCAGGAAGGAGGATCAAGGCTGTCATCTCGATTGCCCCTTCTTCTGTAGGGGTCGAGGCGTGATGCCAGCTGGGAAGGGGTCTGGCTATAAATTACAATATTGTACATTGGACATGTCTTATAATGTGCGTTTTCGGGACTCATTGGCAGCAGTTGCCACCACAGCAAAGGGATCTGGCCCCTGTTGCTGCTGGAGAGACAAATCTCCTTTTCTGTTTCCTGTTTTTGCTAACGATCACTCCGTCCGAGATGACAGGGAAAGGAGGTTTCTCAAGTTTGAGGATTGTCCAAGCAGAAAACGCAGGAGAAACGGCTTTACACTGTATTAGCCGTTCTTGCCCCTTTAAGGTACTCCTCTGGGGGTGGAGTGTGTGGGGGGGT